CCCCAAAACCCCAAAACCCCAAAACCCCTGCATGTATTGCTCCAATGTAAATATTTAAAACTAATAATCATATTGCTGGTCAAAGGATGTCTTATATATACTTCAATTTAAATTTATTTTAAATTATTTATTTTGGAGACCTCATCGACATTAGTTTATCTGGAGATTGCTTTGATCATTCTGCATAAGCCAGTTGTTCCACTTCAGTTTTGTTAACATTGTTCATCGGTATTGGGTACTTGGAATGAAGTGGATCTGAGTAAAGAACAAAATGCTGAAAAATTAAAATGGTATTTAGAATCACAGAAACCACACCAAGGCCAAATTTTACAATATTAAAAGCATCAGTTTTTCCTCCAAACAAAGACCATTCTCCAGTGCTCAGTCCATTCAAAATCATATCAATAACTAGCTGCACAATGCTCAGCACTCCGCCTGAAAAATCAAAAATAACACCCAAAATGCTATATCCCTCCGTACTCTTCCTCCTATAATTAAGAACAATCTGAGGGATATACTTCTGGAATGTAATCACCACCTTCCCATACCCTGTGAACCTCAGCATGCTAATTGTCTTTGGAACTCCAACAACTTCAAAAATCCCTTCTATAGCAAAAGTAACTCACACAGATGCCCAGCAGAGAATAGTTGTGTATACAGCCCATGATTTAAATCTTTTCTGAGCACCTCTCTCGTAGATGAACACTTGGGCTAGCCAAACACTACAGAAAATGAACGCATGCACAGCAAACATTACATCGTTTGGCCTGACTATCCCTGTGCCGAGTCCTGGGTAAATATATCCAGTCACATTGTAGATTGAATACAACAAAAAACCAGAGAAGTTTATCAACGAAAAGTCGATTGAAAGCCCAGCCACCGATTTCTTTTTCCAATTTAATATCGCTTGCGGGTAAAATCATACTGCCCAGCAAAAGAAGTAAGTCCATCCAATAACAATGGACAAGTTCATGAGTAATTGTTCAGAATCCATATTATCCTGATTAATATTAAATTATATTTCCTATCTGTGAATCTTGGGGTTTTGGGGTTTTGGGGTTTTGGGGTTTTGGGGTTTTGGGG